GTGAGATACAGGTGTCAAATCGCTGTCGTTTCCCATTGTTGAAGGCAAAAAGCAGAGCGCAAGGCTGAGGAACGCGACAATCGCAAGACGTATTGGTCACGTGCTATTATTGTGTTTGGTGCAAAATTAATTATGCAGTTGATTTTACGTCCGATCTTTTTTGGGTGATTTTGGTCGAATTTCAGGGCTATACCCGTTAACAAAATCACAATCTTAAATTGATATGAAGGCTGTCTGCAGCAAGAATAGAGGGTACCTCTCACGCACATTATCGGCAAATCGACAGAAATGAAAAAGCAGCTCTTCAGGGAAGACAGACTTAAATGAAATAATCCTAAAATGCATGCAAAAAATAAGAAAAAAATGGAAAAGTTGTGAATGTGAAAGTGGCTTTGGGAGTTCAACGCCACCAAGAAATTATAACCTGTTCGCTTAAAATATTACAATAGCAACGTACGCCAACCCGTTGTTAAGGTGATTTCTCTCAACACTTGCCTCTAACTAACGGTGTAATTTGGCCCAGTTGATATGTATATACATATTTGTAAGATTTTACGCTATTAACCACAGGCAGCCCAAGCTCCAACTGAGAGATGATCGTCTTGCGAAATAAGAGTTGTGGTGAAAATATAAGAGTTTGTTTGGGAATATTCACGAACGCTCTTAGGAAGTAAAAATACAATCAAATTCTCATTTTATAAAATTCTTCCACAATGCATCGCTTGCTGTCAGACCACTTACTATGTTAAAAAGCAGCCATTTTAGCGGGTTATCCATTTCTAATTTTTACTACTCTTGGAGAATAGTAAACTAGAAATGGATGACTCGCTTAAATGGCTTCGTTGCAACACAGTAAGCGGTAACAAAACAAGCAATGCACTGACAAAGTTAGGTGGGGTATCAGTTTTACTGAGAGTTTGACTGAATTTTTTTTTCCTGAGAGCGGTCGTAAACATTCCCATACAAACTCTTATATTTTCCCCATAACACTTATTTCGTGAGATGTTCAAGCTGGAGCTTGGGCTGACTGTGCGTTAACTAACGGCGTGATTTCTTCCAGTTGGTGAAGTTCACACTGTAAGATTTAACGCCGTTAACAACCAACGAAATTTCTTCCAGTCGCTGTAGAAATTTACGCTGTTAACTTACATCAAAATTTGGCTCGCTTGGTATATAAACATACTGTAAGATTTTACGCCGGTAACTAACAGCGTAATTTCTTCCAGTCGGTATATATACATATTATTGTAAGTGTTTACGCCACTAACTGACGGCGTAATTTCATTCAGTCGATATAAATGAATACTGCAAGATTTTACGCGATAACTAACGGCGTAATTACTTTCAGTCGGTAATATAGATACTGTAAGATTTTGCCAGTGACGGCGTAACAACTTCCAGTCGGTATTCCGTTGTTAACTAACGGCGTAATTTCCTCCACTCGGTAATATATTTACTGTAAAATTTTACGAATATAATTTTATTACATATTAATTTATTATTATTATTATTATTATTATTATTATTAATATACTGACGCAGATAGTGGCGTAAAATCGTAGATTCTATAGGCTGTGTTAACGCCGTTATATCCATTAAAGGCCGCACGGGATGTTTTCAAGTTAATTAGTTTTCAGTTCGCATGCGCAGGTCATGTTCTGGCCTTTTTAAAGCATGAAAGTGTATTCAGACAGGCTTCCAAATCCTGCTGACCTTTCAGCGATTTCATTGTACGCCCCTTCAAGTTCCGATTGCCTTCCCTCGACGGAAATAACTGAGATTTGGTCCGCTGCAAATCATTTCGATTCTCATGCGAGTAAAGTGAGCGGCTAATTGTTCTTGAATTATCTGAGTTGTTTTATTCGGATCTTGAACTGTTTTGGCGATAATATCACGTTTGATACAAAACTAAGATTGTCATCTTGTTCAATATCTAATAATACTCCATTGTCTGATAAAACAATTGATTTATCTTGTCCTTCATCTCATTTTAGGGCAGGAAAATTCATGTAACCGGACAGAGCGCGGCGAAAGGTTTTGCAGTATTATACAGAAGGTCGGCCCATCTGCCTGATTACTCAAACTGAACTACACCATCATTATGTTTGACTGCGTATATTACAAAGGACTACACTCTATTATTTGCCAAGAATACAGATTCAGGCCGACTCTAAAGGTCTCCCCTCAGTCCGGAATTTCACACAGCTTTTGGTGGCTTTATAAAATTTTCATAACTATGGAATTGCAACCAGTTGTGACCAATCCAAAGAATTACAATGCAAGCCAGTCTACCATCTGGCCAGTCCTTCAGTTAAAGAATCTCTAAGTGTTAATTTTGACATTTCATTTCACAAGAAACTACACTAAAGTATTGACGCGGTTTAACTGCCCTGTTGACAGTCTTGTTTGACTGATAGCTGTCGCTTTAAGAATATCAAAGTATTACGTCGGTCCCTTGAGTAAATAATTCTGACCAATCTGAAGCAGTGATGCAAATCAAGAGCGATTATCTTGTCATTTGGCGGTTGTTGATCAAACATTAATACTTGGGTTGATTATCACTCAAGCATCACAGGACGTAACCGCCTTATGCTCGTTGTCTTAGACATCTTCCTGGAATTTCAAAGCAAAAGCTACAATGTCTCTTACAAAACTGAAAGAAAAAATGACCAAATTAAAAGACGATACTGAGCAAGCAGAAGAGAGAGAGGCTGACGCAAAATCTTTGCTGAAAGATACAAATGAAAAGGTTGAAAGAGACAAGACCGAGGCCGAAGGATTAAAGCGAAGGATTACGCTGCTAAAAGCTGATCTTGCGAAGACAACAGAGCGCTTGGAAGAGGCGGAGGGAAAACTAGGCGAGATCACCCAGAAAGGCGAAAACGAAGAGATGGTTCGTAAAGAATTGGAGGAGGTTGAAGTGGAGGGGGACGAGAAAATCAGCATGTTGGAAGAAAACTGTGTCGAAGCCGCCAAGGAAAGGGAGGAAAAGGTTCACCTCCTGAACGAAGCCTCGCGCCGTATGGTGGTAATCAAACGCGATCTGCAGGCTGCTAAAGAGAAAGAAGAAAAATATTTAGATACATACGAAAAATTGAAGGATACCTTGAGAAATTTCACCGAACAAACTAAGGAACTGGAGGAATTAGACGAAGAGGCTAGCGAGAAGGAGCAGCTAAGCGAAGAAAAGATGAGGTTTCTGAAGGAACAAGTTAAAGAAGCCAACGGTAGAGCAGAAGTAGCCGAGAGGGAAGTTTGCAAACTTGAGCGGCTAAAGGAGGAAACGACCTCTGAAATAAAAAATTGGGGTGGAAAGATAAAAGAAATAGTGCAGGAGATGGACGACATTACATGTTTGGACGACGAAATGTGAATTTTTACGTACGTGAGTCTGTATTCAGTTTGAACGAAGTCTTTTGGTACTTGATTAACACCCAGCTGAACTGACTTGTGAGGAGAATTTTTATGTAATCAGGCACAGTCATGGAGTCCATCCCTTTAGTTTTCATTTTCTATCGTAAAATGTTTCCGAAATTTTCATTAAGGCATTTATGCAAATATAAAAAAAGCTAAATGTAATCCATTTGGCTTATTTACTCATTCGAGGTGTTGATTTTCCAGCTTCTCAAGGAAACAACGAAATGTTTTGTTTTCCGCTCTCCCGCAGTGCAGGTTAAGACCACTTATTGTTACATGATACTTAAACGTCGGAATAGTTTGTATTTCTTATATTTCTTTCGTGTGCATTTGTATTCAATTGGCCATTTTGTTTATCTTAGTCAGAATAATTAACGACCTGAAATTAAAATTTTGTATTTAAATAATCGGAACACTGTTTCTTTTAACTGCTCCTGTGACTATGTCGTTATTTTACGTGATAACCTCTGAGTAACACTGTTTTCTATGCTTAGGTTTCATGGTAATTTGCGGTCATGCTGTGAGGGTTCCGATGTTATATGATGACCACTCACATGGACAAATTTCCTATGTTTGAACCTGGCTAGATCTATTATGTCTCGTATGCTATTTCGTAACTAAATAACGGGAAATGTTCGGAATTTCTATCTGAATCAAAAAGACAATTTAGTATTTTAGGGAAATTTATTGCGTGTGATAGCTGCAGTGAAAAATCACACCGCGGATTTTGTCGTCTCCTGTCCTGATCGAACGTCGGCTTGAAGTCTGTCACGCAATTCAGCGGGTGAACTGAACTCATCATTAGGCCTATCCAATATTTTTAGATAGTGGTGTAGATAGACGATTGTATGAATAAATTCGCAAAACAGAGATAAGAGATAAGACAAAAGTTTAATAATAACAGACTCGGCAGAATAATAGCTGGCAGAAAAGCCCCCTACAGCTCGCCCGCCCCTCGCGCTCTCGTCGTGTTTGCATCGTTTGTTTGAAAAGCGCAATAAAATTACGCCTGTTTGAGTTGTTGGGTGAGAAATATGTAAAAGGATAAATAATTTAATTAATCACTTGAGAGTATGCCGATAAATAACTCGATAATTTGGAGAAGAATCGCAACTCGACTGATGTCACGGACGTCCAATGCACTCAACATGATCTCGAGACCGAAATTACGATTATCGTTATTTCTAAATTGGCACCAAATTTACGGATATAGTAATTTCGTGGCACTCTTTACCAATGCTCTTTACACGTATTAAATAAAGAGAAGGACTCGGTTCCACTGTCTTACAACATTCAAGATGGCGGAGGAAAGGGGTAAATGTGCGTTCAGTTGTGATGGGTTATTTTGTGAAGTCTTAACTTCATTCGCTACCGTAACTCTTATTTCGCTAATTTAGAATCAGTCTTTTCCTCGACCCTTTGTAAGCTGTAGTCTCATTAAGAATAAAACATTATCGTTTGTCTCACGATGTTGTCACATATGATGTGAATCGCGACGTTTCGACTGCATACTGCTTGTCTTCATCAGTCTTACTCTCGTCTAATTGTTTATAGGGGTATACCGAAAACGAAAGCTGCCCTCGATGTCCGAGCTTCTTAGTAAAGGAAAAGGATTGTTGGGTTTGTCAAAGAAGAAAGAGCGGAAAGCTCGGCAGTATGAATATGGTAGTGACCCCGTTTCAGGACTTCGTAATAATAAGGGAACATACTCTGGTCAGTCGAAAAGAAGAAGAAAAGATACGAATTCTATCCTTGAAACCTCAGCTCATCATGAACGTGATGGTAAGCATATTTTCTGGTGAATCATCATATTAGCTTTCATTAATGAACATGCTACATCAACTTTTCCTCAGCTTGTTAGCTCTGAGTCGATCCCGTTTCTTCTTTATCTAAAGACCTTGCAGAGAATGCGAGCGCAAGTTATGGACATGAAAATGAGGATCAAACTACGTGCGCGTCCGGTACAGTAGGAGGTTTGTAATCATAAATATCAAGGTTGATGTTAATGTGCGCTTCTGTTATGTTCTCTGTGGTGGAGTTATTTGTGGAGTAATTCAAGTAACCTTTTAACCCCTTAGAGTGAGAAGCATCTAATTTCTCCCCACAATATCACCCCCAAATCACACATTAAGGTAATGAGAATAAAGGAAATGGTCACCAACTAGAGAAGCTCTGGATTATGAAACAAATTCTCCTCATTAGCACCTCAGGGAATGTATAGGGAACAGTATGGAGAATATGCATACCGATGTTAGGGTGGAAAGGGATAATGTCAGATTATTTACATGGTGGCTCATAAGTAAAGGTCTAGAGTACCAAAAAAATACAGTTGAGTCACTCAGTCCCACATTACTTTAGTCATACAAGGTCGGAGTTGTTGGGGCAAGGCAAGAGGCATCGAAACCTCCTTAAATTGGTAGGAGGGTGAAGAAATTTTGGGTAGGAGTCATACACCCTTTGGCATACGTTTTAATTTTTGTGCTGTTGGCATTAAAAACCTGATGAACTAATCATACATTTCCTTGAACCTGGATGGCCGGTGCTTTTGGCTTAACCCTTTAACCTCTAAGAGTGATTAGCACCTAATTTCTCCTTAACCTATCATCCTTGAAACACACATTTAGGTCACAAGAATAAATGATCATTAACTCAAGGAGGTCTTAATTGTTAAACAATTCTCCTTGTCAGCACCTAAGGAAATGTAAAGAGCATAGTGTGGAGAGTTTGCATACTGGTGTTAAGGTGTAAAGGGTTAAAGCTTGTTTTAGTTCAAAGTGTAAGAACATGATTTTACACTTTCTGTGATTTTGTTGTCATAATCATTGTTCTTGTTGATTGTATTAGACGCACTGTTACTACAACGTGGAAATGTTTTTGTCATTTTTGTAAAGGAGAAATGAAAGAATTCCTGTTGGAGACACAGGAGCTTTTACAGAGGTTGCAAGAAAGCAACCCACCAAAGAGACAAAATTGGGCAGAAAGGCAGACACTCTTGACTGAAAGCTGGGAAGAGCAACGGTCAACAATATTTAAAGAATTACTGGAAGCCACTTATGCTGTTCCTGAAAATATCATGTGCAGCAGATGCTTAGATAAAGCTGCAGTTGTGAGATGTGACATGTGTTCCACCATACGACACTTGTGCCCTGAATGTGACCAGCAAGTTCATGAAAGCTGGCCATTTCATGACAGGGATGCCATAGTTAATGGACACTATTTCCCAATCCCTGCAACAACAACATGGAACAGTAATGGACAGTGGGAAATAGTTGGTAATCTTTCAGTTGTTTACAGTGTGCATTTATATATATATATAGGAAGACTGTGTTTTGATTTTTCCATTGTAAAGTGCTTGGTATGTAGAAGTAGAGTGTGATATATATTGAGATGGGAAAAAAAGAGATTATACTTTCATTTCTACAAGCCTGTTTTATGCTTACTCACTCGATCATCAGAGGATTTTATAGCAAAATACCCTGATGAGTGGGCAAACAGTCTTGTGGGGATGAAAGTATAATATCTTTGATTTTTCCCTATCTCATTATATACTCAATACATACTCAATATATATATATATGTAAAGTGTAAAATTTTGACTTTCGTAAAACAGTGCTCAATACATAGGAGTAGAGTGATGTACATATTGTGTGAGGAAAAAGACAAATACACTACAAGTTCATCCCTTGAATCGATGAACTTGTAGTTTATTTGCCTTTTTCCTCCAACAATATATATATATATATATATATATATATATATACATATGCATATACATATATAGACATATATATTCACACCCACACATATACATACACATATATATACATATATATATAGATATATATATGTATACAAACACATTAAGTGAGGTGGATTTCATCTCCTTCTTTTCTAGCGAGAAGTCTACCTCTTAGAGACCTTTGCTGTACTACATGTGGCGGAAACTGTGAACCAGACTGTATTCTACCTAATACTCACTGCATTGTTGTCTCCCTTCGAGGTATTGACTGATATGTATTTTCATGAGACATTCCTGTAATATTAATTGCATGGAATTTAAAGAAATATTTCTGCAATGAATATGTTTGTGATACAATGTGCAATAACCAGTTTGCCCTTCTCAACAGACTATATAATTGTACAGTATATATTTCCAAATTTCAGGTCGGTTTGATGTAAACCATAGAAGATATAAGTGCCTCCAGTGTGGGAAAATGCTTTGCACCTCAGAACCAGTTGTCATCATCCAGTCTGGCTTTTGGCCAGGGAGTATCAAAGATATGACGTATGTCTTTGATAAGGAGCTTTTCTTATTCTGGGACATTCTTCAGAAGCAGCTCCCAGGAGTGTCTGAAGGTGCATTTCTCAAGTCACTTGAACTCTTTTCAAAGCGGAAAGGACGTGTGAGTATCTTTATCACAGGACAGCCCTTCAACATCTAATTCTGGTTTGGAAGTTTGGTAAAGAGGAGAACAGCTTGTGGAAAATGTTGTCACTTTTAAACATATGATATTAATTAGCACTGCTAATACTATAAACAAATCTTCAAGTTAGACTTACAAAGAGCATAACCTATGTTAGTATCATTAGTTTTATAACACCTCAGCATATTGATAGGTTCCACGATCATTGTTAAAATTTTCATTCCCATAAGTGAATAAAAGCCCTGTTGATGTAGAGAGTCATTGAGCCAAAGAAGTCTTAAGCAAACTTAACTTTATCACATTTTTTACTGTAGTATGTTGTAACAGAGGAAACGTGGATGTTTGTTTACTGTTTACAGGTTGCAACCGTTAACGCCACAGCTTTCAGAGTGTCATTTAAGGAGTGGAAATATTGTCAATTTGAACTCGATAAATTACGGTGCATTGACTGGATGGAGTGCCCATCATGTAGCCAACATCAGCACTCTGTTCATGTTGATGGGAACATGAAACTTTACCGTTTTAAATCTGCAGGGATGTAAGTTCTAGATATTAATTTCATAAGTGTTCTTTGTGCTAAATTTGAAACTCAAAGACAATTTCTTTCTGCGTAGGTTATAAGTTTCATTGTTAATCAACTGCAATATTTGGGTAGTTGGCTCATTCTACGGTCAACCTCAGTTGGAGTTGTGCAATGAAATCATCATTAGCAATAAGGTTTCAGTATTACCATCATTCTCAAGTTGTAAATCATCCTAACTTTTTTCAGAATTAATCTCTGAACAGTGTTTTATCAAAGCTTATGTGGTTAAAAAATACATATGTTTTTTGAAGGATCAATACTTATCAAAATTCACACATGATTGTAAAGTACTAGTAGGTAACACTACTGAAGAAACTTTTGAAGAAAGTTTGGACATAAGAAGAGCCTGTACCACTATCATACACTCATCTTAACACTGGAGTGCATGTAGAAGACTTGGTTATGTATTAGGTTATTAAAGAATACATATTTACATTTGTATTCAGAAGGAAAAGAGAGTGTTACTATGGAGAAACCTTTGTGGTCTCAAATGAGAAAGTTGATAGTCACATTCATAAGGTCTATCAAGGTTCAAAGCAAAGGGTAAGAGCATGTGTAATCATTAAGTGTTTTCTGGATTTAAAAGGGTACATGCAACATTCCTAGTTTCTGAGGCAATGTTTTGTGATACAACTTAAGACAAGGTACAATCAAAGATATTGTAGTTAACATGTGGAAATGATGATCATTGTCAATTCAGAAACATTCTATGGTTTGATTCAGTGTCCATTATTGTAAGGCAAAGACTTGTCAATATACTTAATTCTCTGCTCACAGAGCAATCAATGCTAAGGTAGTATCATGTAGCAATATTATTAGACTGCATCTCTTGAAACCTGCCTTTTGCTATTAAAACACTGGCAAACATTCCTATCAAGCAATAGGATGTTTAGACACATGTTACTAAATTACAACTTGTTGATTTTTCAACAAGCATCAGTTATCTATACACTGTACATGTGGATGTACATTATTTTTAATCCAGAAATCAGATGAGCAGGGAAAGTGTGGAGACTCAAACTGGCGAGCAGCAGGAAATACAGTTAAAAAAAGAAAGAATCTGGATGAGTGTGGTCTGGAGATTTCTGGATGTAGGCATGGCTTGGCGCAACATGCCATCAACATGATGTATGGGGAAGTTTATGGATATGCCCATTATCTCCAGGTGAACTACTACATTCCCAAGAATGTGGAGTTCTTCTGGTATGATGTCATCTGCAAGTACTGGCCATGGTTAAAAAAGAATGATCCAGCAACTTCCAAGAAAATGAGTCCAGCATTGTCAGTTATGCATGCAAAAGCTCATGATTGGTCTTGTCAGGTACTGGTATGATTATGTCCAATTTTGCTTGCATATGAATTCTTTTGCATGGATACAGTTTGGTTTTGTTTCAATCATGAAATTTTTTATGTGTTCTGATGGCATTCCATGTATATCAATAAGTGTAATTTTCACGTAGGTCTTGTGGGGTGGTCGTTGGCAGAGTGGGGCAGCTGCAACTACTGGGGAGGAGGTTGAGCACATCAATAGCCATTTCTCAAGATTAGGCTCTTCCACAAAGCATATGCTTCCTGAAGGTACATCACCCAATTTTCCATCCACAAAATGGTGTCAACAGCTAGAGGATGCTAAATGTATGTTCTGTTACAAACTCCTATTAGCAAAGGTACAAGGTGACACACCACAAGGTTTATTCCCAGTGCAATTTACTACCCTGTATCCAAGGAACCAAAACAGCATGATAACAGCAATTTTGAAAAAAGTTGAAAATGCTGTATTGGCTAAGGTTTCATATAAAAATTTTTCATAAATGGTTAGAACTTGGAATGGTTGTATTGTAGCCGATTAGTCTGAAGTTTTCTTTTCATTTTCAATCTTACAGGTAGGGAGGAACTGCTCACTGAACATTCTTTTCATTGGAACAGACGGAAAATTGAGAGACTTCCTGGCTCACTTGCAAAACGATACGCAACGGTATAAAGTGCATTTCATTTGCTATAAAGATATTAGTGTTGTGTTTGTTCTTCCACTCATTTGGTTCTTGGTTATGAAATAGGGAAAACAATGACAGTCTATAATTGTCAATTTCGACTTGTGACCCTTCTGCTTCTCTGGTTTCAGGCAGAGAATCAGCTCAAGCAGGTGAACAAAGAGATAGAAGAGCTGTTGAAAAATCCTCAAATGAATCAAACAGATGTGTGCCTAGAAAGTTGGAAATCCGATGTTTGTCAGGCCGCAAAAGGTCAGTTATACACTACTGATATAATTTACCAATTTTTTTCTATGTTTATCACTGATCTGATTGTTGCTGAATTTACCTGCATGACATTCTGAAAATATTTTTCCATCCCAGGAAATTTTGCTAAGACAGTTTGGCTTCTGGACAATTCTTCAAATAGTTAAAAAAAGATGGTGGCAAGCATAACCATATGATGTTTGCATCTCTTATGTCCCTTTAAGCCTATTGCCTCTCAAAACAGAGGAGAAATGGAGAATAAACACCGTTCATAAATGTAGATCTATGCATAATTTGGTGTACCCTAACTGCTTGTAATATGTAACAGGTTTTTAACAGTTTTTGTTTGTTTGTCTATTTTCAAATTTGATTAGAGGACGAAGCTTCCTACCTTAAAAAGCCTCAACTATCTGACGAGGAGGAGCTATATCTATGTCATTTGCTGACATTGCAAAACTGCACCCCCAGACAAAAGTTGCTTCTTGAAACTGCCGATCACCTCTTTGGGAAGAAGTTCCGAGAGCTTGAAGCTAAACCTTGTGACAATGTCAGTGCTGGTGAGGTCGTGTTAATTGAAAAGGGGGTTGCGTATTTCCAGAAGCAAATGGAGCATTTCCACCTCTCAATTACTCAGTTGGCATTTAATATGGGAAAGCTGGCAGGTAACTTTTGTTTCAGTATAAAGATTGTTAGATCTAAACTCTCCCATGAAATGCCTCAGTATTTGTAGTTTGCTCAATGTGAGTGCCCTTTATCCTGTTAATGAAATTATTCGCTGTAAGACTTTTTCAATGGTATGTTTTTTTCTGTAGATGGATCAAAGCAACGTCAAAGGCTACGTACAAAAATATCGGCAGAGAAGATAAAGCTGGAGCAAGTAATTGCTAAGTACAATCGACTTTCAGCCACTGACTCTGTCCAACTGCACGAGATAGAGAATGGCAAATTTCCTTGGAAAGCCGACACAGGTACACCGTTTTTCACAGGTGTACCTATCCGTACCAAACGGTTGGTTGTAGACAAACAGATGGAAGCATCCAGGTTTCACGAGGAAATAGAACTTCTCCAAAAGGAAATGATACGATTCATGAAGTTTTACAAGAACAGTCTTTTACCATACTTGTTCAAAGAACAGGAGCAACTGCAGGAATTGTTAAAAGGTATTTTTATCGCCTATTTGACAGGTCTGGTACCTTTGTGATCACTTTTTGCCCAATAGTTGACAGAACTGGATGAGTAGATGTAAATAGTCCGATTGTACCACGATCACATTCGAGTTCTAACCAATCACACATCCAATTAGACAGCTGTGTAAAGTTTCTCATGTTTGTTTTATCGACCTATCTACTCTAAAGCCCATGCACGCCCAATCTTTCGGTCGGTCCGTCAGTCACTAATTGCCATAGTTCACAAGATGTTGTTCTCCTGGCGTGTAAGTCATAATCAGTAAAGTGACAAATTTTTAGGGCCCTCAGCGTACATTTACATTGACCAGAGAAGTCATAGCTGCACCTTGTTATGTCGATTCTTTGGAGTTAGTAGACGCTACTTTTTTGTTTCATACAGTAGGTATGAAAGATGGCAATGAAGGAGTGGGTATTGAACTGGAAAGATCTTCGGAGGAGATTTCGGTAAGTGGCGAGATATATTAAGGTTCACAGTACAACCAGGTGGACAATCGGACATGGTTGCCTGGTTGTAACAGGTCCATGCATTCAAGTGTATTTCTAATGTGCAATATTTCTACTGAACTAATATACTGTTTATTTGTTAAATAAGAGAGTTGGGTTTTTCAGATAATATTCGCAAATGTCACTTGTGTTATACTTTGTGTATCCCACAAATATGTAGAGTCGTCGGTACGCCACCGCATCAACCAAGAAGCGGGTGATAATGGCAAAACTTGCCCTAATCAAGGAGGGTATGAATTTCGCTACGAAACAAATCGCCGCTGGGATAAGTGCGTTTGCTCCTGTGTTAACTGAAGAGCTACATGTCTTTCGTACCTTTCTCCTTACGCACGAAGTAGAAGAGGAGGAAGACGCTGACGACGAAGAAAGCTTGAACGGTGATGGAGATGGAGATGAAAATGACAACATCATTGAGTTTCTCGGTGGTAATGCCAGTGACTTGGCAGTTGGAAGCGCAACTGGAAATGCTATCCTTCAGGCACTTAGTACTTTGAGTGTACCGGTGTTGGATCCTGTATTCCCAGAGGTTCTAGCTCCGGGTGTGTCTTGCTGGAAATTCCCAAAAGAAATAAGTCAAGGTTTCTACAAAGGCAGAAACGGAAGTAATGCCTGTAGCCTAATTAGTATCCTTTTAGGATATGCTCTAAGTTTCCAAAAAGTTCCGCCCCCGGAGTGCCAATCACGTATTGCAAGTGCCATCGTAGAGGTATTGTGTGGTTGTATCGAAATTGGCAACCGAGTTTACAATTTCTGTCGGGAGAGTTTACCTTCAAGATACCTCTCAATCCAAGAGGCTGCTAGTGTGCTAGAGATGTGGTGCACGATGGATGTTGGTGACAATTTACCTGTGCGTTTAAAAGACCACCACGTGATGTCTACTGTCTCTGGTCAGTTAAAGGAGGCCATTTCGTCGTGCAATGCGTTCACAGCGTTTCTTATTCTTAATGACAAAACTTCTTTGTTTTATTTCACCGATAGTATCGTAATGTATATTGACACTCACTGCCATGGCCCAAGTGGTGCCGTGGTACTCACAGCCGAGGAAAAGGAACTTGACTCGTTCTGTACCAATGTATGGGAACTAGAAAGCAACGACGAGACTACTTACGGAAACTTGGTATTTGTTGATTTTTGAGACTGTATTTGAGAAAGGATAGAGGAACTCCAGCAGTACAAAGTGCCGCGGAAGGAAGCAGAGGACCATGTAGATAAGGATAGCACTGGGGAACTTAAGCGTATCAGTTTTTTTCCATGTGTGGCCAGTGGCAACATCACTGAACTCAAATTGAAATCTCTTTTGTTACCAAACGACATTCTAAGGTACTTAAAGCATAATTTTAAACATGGATTTTTACCATATCCTTCTAACAGTTTTTTCTATAAGTCATACTCAAAATAAAAACAATGTACCTTGGTGAATTAAATTTATCTTGCTATGTATCCTCTGCGAAAATTTAAAGACTAAAGCAAGCGTAACTGGGCTTGTGTTCGTCAGTTGTCTGCGAGAAGAATCTAGCTTTCTATCTTTAGCAAATATTAAATTGGTCTGTTACTTACTCAGCGTGTGCTTCGTGATTGTATACATACCATTTCGCTGATAATTGAAAAGTAGGATCCAAAACGGACGGTAGGGAAAATAATCTATCAGTTGATCTACTAAACCTGCGAAATCCTCCTCAATTCCAATATGCTGATGAGTGAATAATAGGTTCTACAACGGACAATTTGGAAGAGTTTGAGTTCGCGAAATCAATGCCATTTTAATAATAAATGAAATATGTCCCAAAACGGACAATACGAAAAATAATCTATTAGTTGATGTCCTGAACTCGCATAACCCCCCCCCCCCCACCCCATTTTGCTGGTAAATGAAAGATAAGACCCAAAACAGACACAACGGAAAAGAATCTATCATTGGTGTGCCAAAATCGCATAATCCACCCCTATTTTGCTGGTAATTGAAAAATAAGACCTTAAACGTACATAACTAAAAAGAATCTATTGGTTGATGCGCCAAACTCGCGTAATCCATTCCATTTAACTAGAAATTGAAAAATAGGACGCAAAATGTACATAACTAAAGAGAATCTTTCAGATGATGTGCAAAACTCGCGTAATCCATTCCATTTTGCTGCTAATTGAAAAAAAGGACACAAAATGTACATACCTAAAAATAATCTTTTAGTTGATGTGCCAAACTCGCGTAATCCATTCCATTTTGCTGGTAGCTGTAAAAAGGACCCAAAAGGTACGTAACTAAAAAGGAATATTTTAGTTGATGCGCTAAACTCGTGTTATCCATTCTATTTAGCTAGAAATTAAAAATAGGACACAAAATGTACATAACTAAATATAATCTTTTAGTTGATGTGCCAAACTCGCGTAATCCATTCCATTTTGCTGGTAGCTGTAAAAAGGACCCAAAGGTACGTAACTAAAAAGGAATATTTTAGTTGGTGCGCTAAACTCGCGTAATCTATTCCATTTAGCTAGAAATTGAAAAATATGACACAAAATGTACATAACTAAAAAGAATCTTTTAGTTAATGTGCTAAACTCGCGTAATCTATTCCATTTAGCTAGAAATTGAAAAGTAGGACACAAAATGTACATAACTAAAAAGAATCTTTTAGTTGATGTGCTAAACTCGCGGATTTTTTCCATTTACCTAGAAATTAAAAAATAGGACAAAATGTACATAACTAAAAAGAATCTTTTAGTTAATGAGCTAAACTCGCGTAATCTATTCCATTTAGCTAGAAATTGAAAAATATGACACAAAATGTACATAACTAAAAAGAATCTTTTAGTTGATGTGCTAAACTCGCGTAATCTATTCCACTTTGCTGCTAATTGAAAAATAGGACACAAAATGTACATAACTAAAAATAATCTTTTAGTTGATGTGCTAAACTCGCGTAATCCATTACATTTAGCTAGAAATTGAAAAATAGGACACAAAATGCACATAACTAAAAAGAACATTTTAGTCGATGTGCCAAACTCGCGTATTCCATTCCATTTTGCTGCGAATTGAAAAGTAGGACACAAAATGTACATAACTAAAAATAATCTTTTAGTTAATGTGCTAAACTCGCGTAATCTATTCCATTTAGCTAGAAATTGAAAAATATGACACAAAATGTACATAACTAAAAAGAATCTTTTAGTTGATGTGCTAAACTCGCGTAATCCATTACATTTAGCTAGAAATTGAAAAATAGGACACAAAATGCACATAACTAAAAAGAACATTTTAGTCGATGTGCCAAACTCGCGTATTCCATTCCATTTTGCTGCGAATTGAAAAGTAGGACACAAAATGTACATAACTAAAAAGAATCTTTTAGTTAATGTGCTAAACTCGCGTAATCTATTCCATTTAGCTAGAAATTGAAAAGTAGGACACAAAATGTACATAACTAAAAAGAATCTTTTAGTTGATGTGCTAAACTCGCGGATTTTTTCCATTTAGCTAGAAATTGAAAAATAGGACAAAATGTACATAACTAAAAAGAATCTTTTAGTTAATGAGCTAAACTCGCGTAATCTATTCCATTTAGCTAGAAATTGAAAAATAGGACACAAAATGTACATAACTAAAAAGAATCTTTTAGTTAATGTGCTAAACTCGCGTAATCTATTCCATTTAGCTAGAAATTGAAAAATATGACACAAAATGTACATAACTAAAAAGAATCTTTTAGTTAATGTGCTAAACTCGCGTAATCTATTCCATTTAGCTAGAAATTGAAAAGTAGGACACAAAATGTACATAACTAAAAAGAATCTTTTAGTTGATGTGCTAAACTCGCGGATTTTTTCCATTTAGCTAGAAATTGAAAAATAGGACAAAATGTACATAACTAAAAAGAATCTTTTAGTTAATGAGCTAAACTCGCGTAATCTATTCCATTTAGCTAGAAATTGAAAAATAGGACACAAAATGTACATAACTAAAAAGAATCTTTTAGTTAATGTGCTAAACTCGCGTAATCTATTCCATTTAGCTAGAAATTGAAAAATATGACACAAAATGTACATAACTAAAAATAATCTTTTAGTTAATGTGCTAAACTCGCGTAATCTATTCCATTTAGCTAGAAATTGAAAAGTAGGACACAAAATGTACATAACTAAAAAGAATCTTTTAGTTGATGTGCTAAACTCGCGGATTTTTTCCATTTAGCTAGAAATTGAAAAATAGGACAAAATGTACATAACTAAAAAGAATCTTTTAGTTAATGAGCTAAACTCGCGTAATCTATTCCATTTAGCTAGAAATTGAAAAATAGGACACAAAATGTACATAACTAAAAAGAATCTTTTAGTTGATGTGCTAAACTCGCGTAATCTATTCTATTTAGCTAGAAATTGAAAAATAGGACAAAATGTACATAACTAAAAAGAATCTTAGTTAATGAGCTAAACTCGCGTAATCTATTCCATTTAGCTAGAAATTGAAAAATATGACACAAAATGTACATAACTAAAAAGAATCTTTTAGTTGATGTGCTAAACTCGCGTAATCTATTCCACTTTGCTGCTAATTGAAAAATAGGACACAAAATGTACATAACTAAAAATAATCTTTTAGTTGATGTGCTAAACTCGCGTAATCCATTACATTTAGCTAGAAATTGAAAAATAGGACACAAAATGCACATAACTAAAAAGAACATTTTAGTCGATGTGCCAAACTCGCGTATTCCATTCCATTTAGCTAGAAATTGAAAAATAGGACAAAATGTACATAACTAAAAAGAATCTTAGTTAATGAGCTAAACTCGCGTAATCTATTCCATTTAGCTAGAAATTGAAAAATATGACACAAAATGTACATAACTAAAAAGAATCTTTTAGTTGATGTGCTAAACTCGCGTAATCTATTCCATTTAGCTAGAAATTGAAAAATAGGACAAAATGTACATAACTAAAAAGAATCTTTTAGTTAATGAGCTAAACTCGCGTAATCTATTCCATTTAGCTAGAAATTGAAAAATAGGACACAAAATGTACATAACTAAAAAGAATCTTTTAGTTGATGTGCTAAACTCGCGTAATCTATTCTATTTAGCTAGAAATTGAAAAATAGGACAAAATGTACATAACTAAAAAGAATCTTAGTTAATGAGCTAAACTCGCGTAATCTATTCCATTTAGCTAGAAATTGAAAAATATGACACAAAATGTACATAACTAAAAAGAATCTTTTAGTTGATGTGCTAAACTCGCGTAATCTATTCCACTTTGCTGCTAATTGAAAAATAGGACACAAAATGTACATAACTAAAAATAATCTTTTAGTTGATGTGCTAAACTCGCGTAATCCATTACATTTAGCTAGAAATTGAAAAATAGGACACAAAATGCACATAACTAAAAAGAACATTTTAGTCGATGTGCCAAACTCGCGTATTCCATTCCATTTTGCTGCGAATTGAAAAATAGGACACAGAATGTACATAACTAAAAATAATCTTAGTTGATGTGCTAAACTCGTGTAATCCATTGCATTTTGCTGCTAATTGAAAAATAGGTCAAATTGTACGTAACTAAAAATAATCTTTTAGTTGATGTGCTAAACTCGCGTAATCCATTACATTTAGCTAGAAATTGAAAAATAGGACACAAAATGTACATAACTAACAATAATCGTTTAGTTGATGTGCTTAACTCGCGTATCCCATTCCATATCGCTGGTAGCTGTAAAAAGGACCCAAAACGAACATAACCAAAAAGAATCTTTTAGTTGATGTGCTGAACTCGCGTAATCCATTGCATTTTGCTGCTAATTGAAAAATAGGACACAAAATGTACATAACTAAAAATAATCTTTTAGTTGATGTGCTAAACTCGCGTAATCCATTGCATTCTGCTGCGAATTGAAAAATAGGACACAAAATGTACATAACTAAAAATAATCTTTCAGTTGATGTGCCAAACTCGCGTAATCCATTCTGTTTTGCTGCTAATTGAAAAATAGCACACAAAATGTACATAGCTAAAAGTAATCTCTTAGTTGATGTGCTAAACTCGCGTACTCCATTCCATTTTGCTGCTGATTGAAAAATAGGACACAAAAGGTACATAACTAAAAATAATCTTTTAGTTGATGTGCCAAACTCGCGTAATCCATTCCATTTTGCTGGTAGCTGTAAAAAGGACCCAAAAGGTACGTAACTAAACAGAATATTTTAGTTGATGTGCTTAACTCGCGTAATCCATTCTATTTTGCTGCTAATTGAGAAATAGGACACAAAATGTACATAGCTAAAACTAATCTTTTAGTTGATGTGCCAAACTCGCGTAATCCATTCCATATTGCTGGTAGCTGTAAAAAGGAACCAAAACGAACATAACCAAAAAGAATCTTTTAGTTGTTGTGCTGAACTCGCGTAATCCATTCCATTTTGTTGATATAGTTATGGAGTTAAAGCATTTAATTATTCATCTTTGCTTTTATGGCATTTCATTTTTAATATTTTTTTTGAAAAAGGAAAAAGATAACGACCTAAGAGATCGAAGAGAGATAAGAGGGAAGCATAGAAAATTT